CCCAACAGGCACCGGTGTGTGATGTTCCCCACCCTGTGTCCAAGTGATCTCATTGTTCAATTCCCACCTATGAGTGAGAACATGTGGTGTTTGGTTTTCTGTCCTTGTGATAGTCTGCTCAGAATGATGGTTTCCAACTGCATCCATTTCGCTACAAAGGACATGAACTCATCCTTTTTTATGACTGCATAGTATTCCATGGTGTATATGTGCCATATTTTCTTAATCCACTCTATCACTGATGGACATTTGGGTTGGTTCCAAGTCTTTGCTATTGTGAATAGTGCTGCAATAAACATATGTGTGCATGTCTTCATAGTAGCATGATTTATAATCCTTTGGGTATATACCCAGTAATAGGATTGCTGGGCCAAACGGTAATTCTATTTTAGATCCTTGAGGAATCGCCACACTGTCTTCCACAATGGTTGAACTAATTTACACTCCCACCAACAATGTAAAAGCATTCCTATTTCTTCACATCTTGTCCAGCATATGTTGTTTCCTGACTTTTTAATGATTGCCATTCTAACTGGCGTGAGATGGTATCTCATTGCGGTTTTGATTTGCATTTCTCTGATGAACAGTGATGATGAGCATCTTTTCATGTGTCTGTTGGCTGCATAGACGTCTTCTTTTGAGAAGTGTTTGTTCATGTCCTTTGCCCACTTTTTGAAGGGGTTGTTTTTTTCTTGTAAATTTGTTTGAGTTCTTTGTAGATTCTTGATATTAGCCCTCTGTCAGATGGGTAGATTGTAAAAATTTTTTCCCATTCTGTAGGTTGCCTGTTCACTCTGATGGTAGTTTCTTTTGCTGTGCAGAAGCTCTTTAGTTTAATTAGATCCCATTTGTCAATTCTGGCTTTTGGTGTTTTAGTCATGAAGTCCTTGTCCATGCCTATGTCCTGAATGGTACTGCCTAGGTTTTCCTCTAGGGTTTTTATGGTTTTAGGTCTAACGTTTAAGTCTTTAATCCATCTTGAATTAATTTTTGTATAAGATGTAAGGAAGGGATCCAGTTTCAGCTTTCCACATATGGCTAGCCAGTTTTCCCAGTACCATTTATTAAAAAGGGGATCCTTTCCCCATTTCTTGTTTTTGTTAGGTTTGTCAAAGATCAGATGGTTGCAGATATGTGGTGTCATTTCTGAGGTCCCTGTTCTGTTCCATTTGTCTATATCTATATTTTGGTACCAGTACCACGTTGTTTTGGTTACTGCAGCCTTTTAGTATAGTTTGAAGTCAGGTAGCGTGATGCCTCCAGGTTTATTCTTTTGGCTTACGACTGTCTTGGCAATGCAGGCTCTTTTTTGGTTCCATATGAACTTTAAAGTAGCTTTATCCAATTCTATGAAGAAAGTCATTGGTAGCTTAATGGGGATGGCATTGAATCTATAAATTACCTCGGGCAGTATGGCCATTTTCACAATATTGATTCTTGCTATCCATGAGCATGGAATATTCTTCCATTTGTTTGTGTCTTCTTTTATTTCCTTGAGCAGCGGTTTGTAGTTCTCCTTGAAGAGGTCCTTCACATCCCTTGTAAGTTGGATTCCTAGGTATTTTATTCTCTTTGTAGCAATTGTGAATGGAAGTTCACTCATGATTTGGCTGTTTGTCTGTTCTTGGTGTATAGGAATGCTTGTGATTTTTGCACATTTATTTTGTATCCTGAGACTTCGCTGAAGTTGCTTATCAGCTTAAGGAGATTTTGGGCTGAGATGATGGGGTTTTCTAAATATACAATCATGTCATCTGCAAAGAGGGACAATTTGACTTCCTCATTTCCTAATTGAATAGCTTTATTTCTTTCTCTTGCCTGATTGCCCTGGCCAGAACTTCCAACGCTATGTTGAATAGGAGTAGTGAGAGAGGGCATCCCTGTCTTGTGCTGGTTTGCAAAGGGAATGCTTCCAGTTTTTGCCCATTCAGTATGATATTGGCTGTGGGTTTATCATAAATGCCTCTTATTATTTTGAGATACATCCCATCAGTAACTAGTTTACTGAGAGTTTTTAGCATGAAGGGCTGCTGAATTTTTTCAAAGGCCTTTTCTTTATCTATTGAGATAAATCATGTGGTTTTTACCGTTGGTTCTGTTTATGTGATGGATTTCATTTACTGATTTTCATATGTTGAACCAGCCTTGCATCCCAGGGATGAAGCTGACTTGATCATGGTGGATAAGCTTTTTGATGTGCTGCTGGATTCGGTTTGCCAGTATTTTATTGAGGATTTCACATCGATGTTCATTAGGGATATTGGTCTAAAATTCTCTGTTTTTATTGTGTCTCTGCCAGGCTTTGGTATCAGGATGATGCTGGCCTCATAAAATGAGTTAGGGAGGATTCCCTCTTTTTCTATTGACTGGAATAATTTCAGAAGGAATGTTACCAGCTCTTCTTTGTACCTCTGGTAGAATTCGGCTGTGAATCCATCTGGATCTGGTCCTGGACTTTTTTTGGTTGGTAGGCTATTAATTATTGCCACAATTTCAGAGTCTGTTATTGGTCTATTCAGACATTCAACTTCCTGGTTTAGTTTTGGGAGGGTGTCTGTGTCCAGGAATTTATCCATTTCTTCTAGATTTTCTAGTTTATTTGTGTAGAGGTGTTTATAGTATTCTCTGATGGTAGTTTATATTTCTGTGGGATCGGTGATGATATCCTCTTTATCATTTTTTATTATGTCTATTTGATTCTTCTCTGTTTTGTTCTTTATTAGTCTTGCTAGTGGTCTATAAATTTTGTTGATCTTTTCAAAAAACCAGCTTCTAGATTCATTGATTTTTTGAAGGTTTTTTTGTGCCTCTATCTCTTTCAGTTCTGCACTGATTTTAGTTATTTCGTGCCTTCTGCTAGCTTTTGAATGTGTTTGCTCTTGCTTCTCTAGTTCTTTTAATTGTGATGTTAGGGTGTCGATTTTAGATCTTTCCTGCTTTCTCTTGAGGGCATTTAGTGCTATAAATTTCCCTCTACACACTTCTGCCTGTTACTTTAAAGTAAACCTTAACAGCTGTCACTGCCACTCTCATAAGTGTACTGGTTTGGACAAGAAATTATATGTCACCCTACTTCCAGAGTTTGATGTGGTCACTACTTTCAGAGAAACCTGCCTTCACTAACCAGCTGCTGTTTTTTTCTGAACCCTCATGTGCACATATGAGTGGAGTGCCACACTCTTACAGCCACTACTACCACCACTATTTCTGAGACCTGATCTCAAAAATAATCTCATCATTGCTGTTACTCTTTGGCCCTGCTATCTACTTTACAATTTTCTACTCTTTAAGTTTTGCTTCAAACAATTTTCTGTATCTGCCTAGTTGGATCGAGGACTGGGTTTGAATTAGTAAGTTTAAATTTGGTCCAAACTGGTAAAAAAAAAAAAAAAAAAAAAAAAAGAGGCACACAGGCATCCCTCTATATCCAGAGACCCTTACTGCTTCCAAAGGAATCCTCCCTAACACATCCACACTGCCAAAGTTAAAGAATCTGTGTTTAGGGCCCCCAAATCCAAATTTTATATAGGCCTCTTTTCATCCCATCAGATATACTACTCTTTCTTGCCTGATAAGAGAAAGAAGCCTAGACCAATGAAATTAAGTCCACCCTGGAAGGAAAGGTGGCCCCTTTAAGAACATGGAATGGTCTGGAACCCTTGATTCTGCCCACTATGACAGCAGGAAGCAAAGGTCAGAGGGACTGGCCATAGGCACAAGTGAAGCTTTCTTGCCAATCTTCGTTGAACTCACACTTCAAAAATCATGGTTTTCTTTCTTTGTTTTATCGTGGTTTTCTGTCTTATTATAAAGAAGATTGCAGAAAAGAGGCAGAGAAGGAGAGATGAAAGACCAAAAAAGAGTATCTAAACAACAGAGGACGAATACTGGGTCTGTCTTATTTTTCCTGTTTCTATCAGTTTGTCTTTTCATATGATACTTAACCTCTATCTTACCCTCGATATTATTACCAATCTAAGAATCTCTACCCCTCAAAGGTGGTTGTGGGCATTAGATGAAACTTAGGAGTAGTTCATGGTATATATTTCACAAACTATTTAATCTTTTTAAAACAAAGGGCAATGAATTATTTTATAGACTGCATCAAACTTCCTCATGTAAAAATAACTATCAAAGTGGCTAGCAAAAATACATTTGATTTCAAAATCACTCAATCAAAATGATCATGTCATAATATGTATATGCATAGACATACATACAATACATATTGTATATGTACATACTCTTAACTGGTGTGGCTACAAGAATAGGTTCTGTGTAGATCTTGTTTTGATCCAATATTATATGCCTCATGTCTGTTTTAAAGCCAAATTCTTGCTTCAATGCCCATATTCCTGCAATTTGGTCTTTACTTATGTACTTACTCAGAGTATAGTCTTTAAGTACCAAGTCTTTATCAGTTGATTTCTATGGATTAGCTTCCCTCCAAAACCCTTTAGAATATGTTGTGGCTGTTTGACATTGCAGGTCTCTGTATTCAACCTAAGTATTTGCTGCCTGAGTTATTTTTGTCTTCTGTGTTTCCTCTGGAGATATGTGTTTTTCAAACTATGACAATGGGAAGGGGGATTTAAATTTAACCCTTTTGGATGGAAAGGTCACTTACTGCTTAGAGTGGTGGCTGAAATGTATCTTCAATTTGCACTTACTCTTCAGTGGGCCATTTGATATCCCTATATAGATAAATGATGATGGCGATGAAGATGATAGACAGATAGATAGATAGATAGACAGACAGACAAACAATAGACAGAAAGATAGAAATAGAAAGAGACTTGCTATAGAGTAAATATAATATATAAACATTTTCCCTGTAGCAATTACCTTTGTTTATTTGTCATTTCTAAAGATTAGTCCTGGAACTATCTTGATATTTAAATATTAGAATGTAGAATTAATGTGAGCTATTATATATTATATTTCAAATTTCCCTAAAATCATGGCTATTTCTTCTCTTCCCTCAAAAAATCAATGTGCAGAATCTCTGGAACTCATCCCTTCAGAGGGTCCTTCCCAGAAGAACTGTATCTCCACTACCTCGGTTCTCTGGAATAAATTACAAGTAAGTTATCTTAAAAGGGATGTTAAAGCATGTAAATACTAAAAAGAGAGAAAGCAGAATCTTATTTGGGAATAATTTTAGTAGATAGTTTTATGTATTTATCTTTTGGTAGAAGGTAGGGTTTCAGGGAACGGAACATAGAGATAACAATGTTTCTAACTGTGAATATCTACATAATTGTATTTATATTAGAGCAGAAGATTGCTCTTTTACACATTTCCTAAGAAAAAATGTCAGTACTAAAATTAATCTGTAAGATTTAAAAAATTGTACTTCATTTATTTAAGTATCATAGTAATTTCTCAGACATTCCAAGAAAGAAACACAGAAAATATTCCCTAACAAGAACCCTAGTTTGAGTGAGAAACAGAATAAAAGGAGAATTGTTTCATTCTTTCAGTTTTATGAGAATGCCATCGTTTTATGTCTGCTATGTCAATCTAACGTAACTTCTGAAAGACTTCGTTTATTCGCTTTCCACAGATTATAGTCATAACATTCGATTTCATCATAACACGTAACAGTTTATGATTGACTTTTTAAAGAGTCCTATAATATTTATTTTATTTTTTTTCATTTAAAATAGCCTTATGTTCTTGTGATAGTTTGCTAAGAATGATGGTTTCCAGCTGCATCCATGTCCCTGCAGTACACCAACATGGCACAAGTATACATATGTAACAAACCTGCACGTTATGCACATGTACCCTACAACTTAAAGTATAATAATAATAAATAAATTTAAAAAAAATAGCCTTATGATTCATGAGTCCAAAGAGGACAGTCTTTACATCTATCCATCTTATAACTGATGTGGCTCTCAAGGAACAAAAAAACCTAAGCAAATTAAGGGAACAAGCATTTATCAACCACGCAAATGAAGCCACTCTTTGTATGTATTATGCATCTCAATCTCTATATATGGTTATCAACGTAATAATTCAAGTAAAGGTAATATAATAAATACTAAGATCTCACTATAGCAAAATGGTATGATAGAATTAGACAAATTATGTCAGGTAGAATTAGACAAACTTCAAGACAAATGTTCAGGAAATTTAGTTTATATGACTCACTGTCATTACTATTTTATTTTGTAAAATGGGATTAGGAAATATGAACCAAATGTATAGTATATATAATACTTAATATGTATTAACATACTTATATATAAGTATGCATAATCTATATTTAAATTTGAATCTTTAGAAGGAGATTTCAGATCAAATGAAAACTGATTAAATGCCATTAGACTGGTTAACCCAGAGATGAGACAGGTCTTAATGTTTTTGAAGTCATTAAATTACCATAATTTAGCAATGCAACTGCTATTTTGTGTTTTAGTCCACTTAAATAATACATTAAATAGTACATTGCTCAAGCTAATGTTGAACACTAGCTAATTACTGATCACTAGCTATAAGACATGTTAACAAATAACATAGAATGCAAAGTATTTCCTTGTAGAAGTGTTTAAAAACAATCAGAAAACAGTGAAACAGATGATCAGCAGAAAGTTATCTTTATGAATTTTCTTGATAAGTGCAATGAATTACAGAAAATGGAGCTAGTTCACCAAAAATGGGTAACTGGTATTTGTTAACATAATAAGTTGTGGTTCTTTTGAGAGAGGGATATCTTTGGTTGACCACATAGCAAAATAACATTCCCCCCAAAAAACACACTATGAATTAATGAGTGACCTCACAGTGATAAATTAAGGAAACACAGATTAGTAGTTTTAAGGATTTTGATTATGCAGTAAGACAAAATGTCAGCTGTGTGACTGAATAAAAACAGGTTTTTCTAATGTACTTAGCATATATTAGGAAACATATATCATCTATGAGGACAAGTGATGAAAAACAGAACTAAAAAAAAGAACTTTCATGGGACATGTAAAATCATTAAGAGAATTAAATAAGAGAGAATGGCACTGAACTCATTGTGGGTCAATACATGTGGAAACTCAAAAAGAAAACCTCAGTAAGAAAAGAGGAAAGGGTGATATGAAGAATATAGAGGGGAAACTGGCCGGGCTTAAATGTAAGTGGCTTCAGAATCAGTTTTGATCTGTGTATCAGTTCCCTATTGCTGCATAACAAATTATCAGACTTGGTAACTTATAAAAACACATATTTATTATCTCACAGTTTCTGTGCTTCTCAGTCCATTTTGTGTTACTATAAAAAAACCTGGGGCTGAGTAATTTATAAAAATGGAAAGTTTATTTGTCTCATGGTTCTGCAGGTTGTAAAAGAAGCATGGCACCAGCATCTATTTCTGGTGAGGACTTTAGGCTGCTTCCATTCATGATGGAAGGCAAAAAGGAGCTGGCATGTGCAGAGAGCACATAGCAAGAGAGGATACAAGGAGGTTTCCAGGCTCTTTTTAACAATCAGCTCTCATGAGAACTAATAGAGGAAGAAGTCACTTACTACTGAGAGAGTGGCTCCAAGCCATTCATAAGGAATCCACCACCATGACACACTAGGCTTCATCTCCACAACTGGGAATCACATTTCAACATGAGATTTGGAAGAGTCAAATATCCAAATTATAGCATTCTACCCCTGAACCCCCAAGTATCATGTCCTTCGCACATGCAAAATACAATAATTTTATCCCAATAGTTCCCAAAAACTTTAACTTGTTCCAGCATCGACTCAGAAATCCAAAGTTAAAAGTCCTATCTGAGACTCAAGGCAATTTACTTACAACTGGGGGCCTGTATAATTAAAAAAAAAAATAAGTTATTTAACTCCAAGGCACAATGGTGGTACAGGCATTCAGTAAATATTCCCATTCCCAAAGGGAGAAATTGGCCAAAAGAAAGGGAGAAAAAGCCCTACACAATTCCAAAACCCAGCAGAGCAGACATCAAATCTTAAAGCTCCAAAATAATCTACTTTGACTCCATGTCCTGCATCCTGGGCACACTGGTAAGCAGGGTGGGCTCTGAAGACCTCAAGAAGCCCCACTCCCATTGTTTTGCCAGGTGCACCCATGTGGCTACTCTCATGGGTTACAGTCCAATGCTTACAGTTTTACTAGGCTGCAGTTGCACACTTCCAGGGGCTCTGTAATTCTGGAGTCTGGAGGGTGGTAGCACTGCCCTAGTAGGCACCATTTGTGGTGGCTCCAACCCCTATTGCATTCTGAGCACCTGTGGATATAACACCATATGCGTGCCACCAAGGCTTACAGCTTGCAACCTCTGGAGCAGTAGCCTGAGCAGTACCTGGGGCCCTTTGAGCCACAGCTGGAGCCGAAGCAGTGGGGATGTAGGAAGGAACATCCTGAGACAGCACAGGACAGCAGAACCTGGGCCTGGCTCCCAAAACCATTCTGTCTTCTTAGGCCTCTGTGCCTGTGATTGGGTCTTTTACCCATAGTCTTGACTATTAGCGCCTGGCTTCCATTTAGTCATAGTAATCTCTTTAGCAAGTGGTAGTTCCACAACATCCTTGGATTCCTCTCCTGAAAACACTCTTTTCTTCTCTATCACATGGCCAGGCAGCAAATTTTCTAGATTTTTACACTCTGTTTCCTTTCTAATCATAAATTTTAACTTTAGGTCATCCCTTTACTCCCAGATAATATTGTAAGTTGTTAAAAGTAGTCATGCCATTCTTGAATGCCTTGCTGCTTAGAAATTTCTTTCACCAGATACCCTAGGTCATCACTCTTAAGTTCAGCCTTCCACAAAGCCCTAGGGCATGGACACAATGCAGCCAAGTTCTTTGCTACAGTGTCACACTGACCTTTCTCCAGTTACCATTAAGTTGCTCATTTCCATTTGAGACCTCATCAGCATGGCCTTTACTGTCTATATTTCTATCAGCATTTTGCTCACAACCACAACCAATCTTTAGGAAGTTCCAAACTTTCACCTATCTCACAGTCTTCTTCTGAGTGCTCCAAACTTTTCTAACTTCTGCCCATTAGTCAGTTCCCAAGCTGCTTTCACATTTTCAGGTATCTTTATAGCAATGCCCCACCCCTGGTACCAACTTTCTGTCTTGGTCTGTTTTTGTTTTGCTATAAAGGAATACCTGAAGCTAGGTAATATTAAGAAAAGAGGTTTATTTGGCTCATGATTCTGCAGGCTAGATGACGGGGAGTCTGGTGAAAGCCTCAATCTGTTTCCACTAATGGCAGAAAATGAAGGGATGCTGGCATGTACATAAATCACATGGTGAGAAAGGAAGCAACAGCAGGGAGGTGACAGGCTCTTTTTTTTTTTTTTTTAAAAAAAAAAAGACATTTATTCAGCGTCACGATCAGACTATTACATTTAGCAATCAACAACATGGGTGCAAAAAAAAAAAAATCTACATTAAAACCCTTTGTTGGAATGCTTTACACTTTCCACAGAACAGAAACTAAAATAACCTGTTATACAATTAGTCACAAATACAGTCCTCGAGTTTTTTGCCCATACACATGAGTATTTGTCTAAAACATGTCTTCTTTGTAGCAGCTAGGCCCTGCCACCACTGTGCTTGGCTGAGTTCACAAATCTGTTGTAACCTGTAGCTTCCCTGTCACTTCTCTGGCTCTCCTCTCCTGCTAAGCTTTGTTTCCTAATTAAAATCTTCTGCCACTGCCATAGCTACTGCTGCTGCTGGAACCGCCATAGCCACCTTGGTTTTGTGGTTTTGCAAAGTATTGGCCTCCACCGCCATAGGGGCCAGAGCTTCTGCCTCCAAAATTTCCTCCCTTCATGGGTCCAAAATTTGAAGACTGATTGTTGTAATTGCCAAAATCATTGTAGCTTCCACCACCTCCAAAATTGCTTCCATCATTACCAAATCCATTATAGCCATCCCCACTGCCACCATATCCACCACCACCACGGCTGCCACCAAAGCCACCACGACCACTGAAGTTTCCTCCACGACCGAAGTTGTCATTCCCACCGAAACCACCTCCACGACCACCACCAAAGTTTCCAGAACCACTTCGACTTCTTTGGCTGGATGAAGCACTAGCCATCTCTTGCTTTGACAGGGCTTTCCTAACTTCACAGTTGTGGCCATTCACAGTATGGTATTTCTGAATGACAATCTTATCCACGGAGTCATGGTCGTCAAAGGTTACAAAGGCAAAGCCCCTTTTCTTGCCACTGCCTCGGTCAGTCATGATTTCAATCACTTCAATTTTCCCATACTGTTCAAAATAATCTCTTAGGTGATGTTCTTCGGTGTCTTCTTTAATGCCACCAACAAATATCTTTTTCACAGTTAAGTGGGCACCTGGTCTTTGAGAATCTTCTCTTGAGACAGCTCTCTTTGGTTCCACAACTCTTCCGTCCACCTTGTGTGGCCTTGCATTCATAGCTGCATCCACCTCCTCCACAGTGGCATATGTGACAAACCCAAAGCCCCTGGAACGCTTGGTGTTTGGATCTCTCATTACCACACAGTCCGTGAGCGTTCCCCATTGCTCAAAATGGCTCCTCAGGCTCTCATCGGTTGTTTCAAAGCTCAACCCTCCAATGAAGAGCTTCCTCAGCTGTTCGGGCTCTTTAGGAGACTCTGACTTAGACATGACGGCAGGGAGAAGAGAGACTTTAACGATGCTTCTTCGGCGGCGTCCACGGGCAGAAAGGCGACAGGCTCTTTTTAACAGCCAGTGGTCATGGGAATTAATGGACTGAGAACTCACTACTGAGAGAATGGCACGAAATCATTCATGAGGAATCTGCCCCCATGACCCAAACATTTCCCACTAGGCCTCACCTCCCACACTGGGGATCAAATCTCAACATGAGATTTGGAGGGGTCAGTTATCGAAACTATAGCACCATGAGTCAGGAATCTGAGTATGGCTTATCTGGGTCCTCCACTCAGGGTCTTTCGATGCTGTGATTAAGGTGTCAGGCAGACTGCATTGTCATCTGGAGTTTGGGTCCTCTCCCAAGCTCATGCATTTGTTGGGAGAATCCACTTCCTTGCAACTATAGAACTTCATTCTCTTTCCTACCCCTTTCCTTGCTAGCTGTCATCTAAAGGCCACTGTCAGTTCCTATAGGCCACTTGCGGTTGCCACATGGCCCTCTGATAGACCCTCTCACAACATTGCAGTTTACCTCTTCAAGGCCAGCAGAAGAATGGCTAGCTCCATTCTGCTAGGATGGAGTCCTAAATAACAATGTATTCAAGAGAGTAACTATTGTATTGATATTCCCTATCATTTTCTCCATATTGGCCAGAAGCAAGTCACAGGTTCTTCCTATGCTCCAGAGAAGGGGTTTCTGCAATCAATGTACCTCATTGAAGGTATCATTCAATGTGTGTCCACATAATCAACAATTTACCCTTTAAAGAGGACTAAAATTGAATAGCTCAGCTTTTTTCCTGGAAGACAAGGTGAACAGGGAAAAAATGGTGACCTTAAAGGTTATAGAAAGCCTGGGACAGATAATCTTTTAAAACTGAATGAAACTAATTGAGGAATGTAACCTTTTCATTCATTCAACCAATTGGTTAAACCTACTGGTGCCTAGCATGTGCCAAGACCTGTGGTATTTAAACAATGATGAAAAACGTTATTGTCTTGACCTATGGAACTATATTACAGTGGAGGGAAACATACATTAAACAGGTCGATATGTATATAATTAAAAATTGTGATAAGTACTAAAAAATAAAAGCTCAGAGGGTAGTGAGAGAGAATGACAAGGGTGATGCAATCACCTGTGGTGCAGTGTGTGTATCAGTATTACCCTTAATTATGGCCACCAAAAGAAAAGCAATAATGGTTCAAGAGGTGGATAAGAGACTCAAAAGAGAAGTGGGTCAGAGCAGTCAAAAAGTCAGTCAAAAAGTAGTGGTAGTAATTTCCAAGAAGTAGGGGCAGGATTGGAGGTGGAAGAGGCAAAATAAGACAAAAAGTTGAAGTGACATGGATATTGGTAAGGGAAAGATAGTGCCCAAGACAAGAAAGAGCATGCCTAAAGTTCTTTAGGAAAAGGCGTGGAAAAGGTTTATCTGTCTCTGCTAAGAAATTAAACTTTTCCCCAAGAAAGCTCTCACTGTACTTTTATTTCAAGGATACATGGTAACCAAGCTCAGCATTCTGTTAAAGCACATTGTTAAAGTTGCTCTCATTGAGTGTCCCAGTAATATGTTAGGTATCAAATCCAAAACCCTATTTTAAGACTTCACCTTATCTGATCTCTCTATAGACATTTAATACTTAATGTTTCCTGAACACTTCCAGGGTAATACTCTCCTAGTGGTCTGCCTATCTCTCTGACTATAATTCCCTAAACTCCTTCTGAAACACCTTCTAATCTCTAATCAGAGGCAGTGCCTGCCACAAAGTGGTGGACAACAAATATATATATTTTAAATTTTTGAACCATTATTGTATGAATGGAGAAGACAGCCAGTATAATGTTTTTCAGTAAACATAAAAAATTCTCACCATTATCCTAAGCAAACTAATGCAGGAATATAAAAACAAATACCACATGTTCTCACTTAAGTGAGAGGTAAACAATGAGAACACATGGACACAAGGAGGAGAACAACAGACATTGGGGATCACTTTAGAGTGGAGAGTAGGAGAAGAGAGAAGATACAAACCCCCCACCAATTGGGTACTATGCTTATTACCTGGGTGACAAAATAATCTGTACACCAAACCGCTGTAACACACAGTTTACCTATATAACAAACCTTCACATATAACCCTGAACTTAAAATTAAACTTAAAAAAATAAAATCTTCCATTCAGTAAAAAAAAAAAAAAAAAAAAAAAAAAAACTTAAAATAAAGGCCTACAGTATTCATATTTTCTCAGATCTGTTTTAAAATGACATTTTTAAATGTTCATGGACATGTTTCCTTATGGTCCTTGGAAAAGTAAATTTATGAATGGAGATTTTTAATTGTCAAAAAGTAACATGTTATGCTGGGGAAATTAAGTTTTAGCATGAACCTCTATCATAAAACAATTCTGTGCCGAGACGAAACTCTGGTTATGTGACATAAATAATGTTATGATAACATATGTTGTGAAAACAATTAGTCATGTATTTTAAAATGTGTGTATATGATCATACAAAAAAGACAAATGGAATATTTCATAAATGCAACAAATTTAATTTTGTGTTAATACAGTACTAACATTCATAATTGTGTAATACTAGAATGTGGAACTTGGTACTATAGTATGATAAAAAAATAAATATTTGCTTTTCTTATGTAAATTTTCTCCTGTAACATTTGCTTTTTACTTTAGTATGGAAACTGGATTGCCCAATATGTAAACCAGTATGAAGGAACTATTTTACAAGTATTTAATGGTTATTTAAAATCAGCCAGAAATTATTTTACTAAAATAAGATATTTTAATGTGTTGTTTTAAATCACTACAGATTTCTGAGAGTGATTAAATAGATTTCTAAAATAACTAAATATAAGCATATCTGAATGAGAATAAAAATTTTATTAAATGTCATTTAATTACATTTGATATTTTTCACTTATTTGCAGAGTTTTTCTACACCAGGAGTTCCAAAGTCAAGCTACATTCAAAGAGAGAAACAACACACTGGATACTCATGTTATGAAGAGTCAGACATTCCTTATAGGATAGAAGATGTGCAATTGAAATCTAACTATTAAGTTTTCTGTGGAAAAAAAACATATATGTGTACTATATGGCCATCTGATCATTTTAAAAGCATACTCAGAATACTTTAAGAAAACACTATGAGTATGAATTATCTATGCTCTAAACACTTTACTTCTCTTTCTGCGTTTATGCCATCACTTCTTATCTCTTTATACCTTGAACTTTTTCTTTACCCCTCTCTCACTCTATGACTCCTGAACAAAATTTTCATTTCCAATATCCAACTTCATTAACTAAGAAGGGATGGGAAATGTTTATTATCACCAAAATGCAGCATAACACTTGCATACTGGTTTATGACATGCATCTTTATAAAGTGCTCAGTGAAATGCATAAACGATTGATTGCAAATTGGTCAAAGAGAATACTGAGTACTTTATTAGTTACTGGCTAAAGCTAAGGAGTTACACAAAAGCATCATATCTAAATAAGGAATTTTATTTGAAATATGTAATTTCATTATGAATAAATTCCATAAAATAAACTAAGAATTGCTAAATGATTTCTGTAAACTGACTGGAGCTGTAGAATGATCCCATGACCTGGGCCCCTGATTCCTTCTTTCCTTTCTTCCTTCATTCCTTCTTCTCTTCCTTTATCCCTCCTTTATTTAAAGGGTACCCAGAGAGGAGCAAGATGGTGGAATAGAAGCCTCCACCAATCACTGCACATCACCCCCAGCAAGGACACCAATTTAACAACTATCTACACAGAAAAAAACAACCATATAAGAACCAAAATTTAGGTGAGCCCTCATAGTACCTGTTTTTTTTTTTTTTTTTTGAGACGGAGTCTCGCTCTGTCGCCCAGGCTGGAGTGCAGTGGCCAGATCTCAGCTCACTGCAAGCTCCGCCTCCCGGGTTCCCGCCATTCTCCTGCCTCAGCCTCCCGAGTAGCTGGGACCACAGGCGCCGCCACCTCGCCCGGCTAATTTTTTGTGTTTTTAGTAGAGACGGGGTTTCGCCGTGTTAGCCAGGATGGTCTCGATCTCCTGACCTTGTGATCCGCCCGTCTCGGCCTCCCAAAGTGCTGGCATTACAGGCTTGAGCCACCGCGCCCGGCCAAGTACCTGGTTTTAACTCCACATTACTGAAAGAAATACTGAAGAGACAGAAAAAAAAAAAAACTCACCTTGAATCACTGACACTACCTCTCCCCAACTCCCCAGCAACAGTGTGGAGTGGAGCATCTCTGGGCATTGGGGAAGGGACAGCACAACAATTGTGAGGCATCAAATTCAGTGATGTCCTGTTACAGCAGAAAGGAAAACAGAATAAAACTCAGCTGACATCCACCCACAGAGGGAGCATTTAAACCAGTCCTAGGCAGAGGGGAATCTTGGATCCCAATGGGTGGAACTTGAGTTCGTGCAGACCTTGCCACCCAGGGCCAAAGTGCTCTGGATTTCTAAGCAAACTTGATAGGCAGTCTAGGCCACAGGGACTACAACTCTTAAGTCCTAGTGCTGAACTGGGCCCAGAAACAGTGGTCTGAGGGTGCATGTGACCCACTGAGACATCAGTGGGAGCAGCTAAGGGAGTGCTGGCATCACCCCTCCCCTAAACTCTCGGCTGTACAGCTTTTGGCTCCAAAAGAGACCCCTTTCTTCCTCTTGAGGTGAAGAGAGGGAAGAAGTGGAGGACTTTGTCTTGCATTTTGGATACCAGCTCAGCCACAGCAGGATAGGGCACCGGTCAGAGTCATGAGGACCCTGTTCCAGGCCTTAGCTTCCAGGCAGCACTTCTAGACATACCCTGGGCCAGAAGGGAACCTGCTGCCTTGAAGGAAAGAACACAGTCCTGACAGCATTCATCACCTACTAACTGAAGAGCCCTTTGGCCCTGAATAACCAGTAGCAATACCCAGGTACTACATCAAGGGCCTTGAGTGAGATGCTAAGACTTGCTGGCTTCAGGTAAGACTACCATACTGCCAGCTGTGGTAGACACAGGGTGAAACTCTTTCTGCTTAAGAAAAACAGAGGGAATGTTGAGGGGACTTCATCTTGCACCTTGGGTATCAACATGGCCACAGTGGGGTAGGGCATCAAGTGGGTCTCTGATTCTAGGACTGACTCTTAGATATCATCTCTGTACCTGCCCTGGGCCAGAAAGGAAACTACTATCCTGAAGGGTGAGTCCAAGGCCAGGCGGCATTCATCATATGCTCACTAAAGAGCCCTGGGACCTTAGGACCCAGGGTCTCACTTGCAGTAGTCTGGCAGTACTCCCTACAGTCTGTGGTGGTGGTGGTGGTGGCTATAGAGTGAGGCCCCTCTGCCTTTGGAAAGGGAATGGAAGAGTTAGAGGGATTGCATCTTGTGGTATGATTGCCAGTTCAGTTGTAGTACAATAGAACACAAAGCAGACTTCTAAGTTTTTGACCCTAGGACCTGACTCCTGATGGTACTTTTGGATCCACCTGGAGACTGGCGGTTCTTGCTGCCCTGAACAGAAGGAGACAGGACTGGGTGGCTTTGCCACCTGCTGATTGCAGAGCCCCTTGAAAAAACATAGGCAGTAGCCAGGGAGTAATGATAGCAGGCCTTGGGGGAGACGCAGTGCTGTACTGGCTTCAGGTCTGAACCCAGAGCAGTCAGAGTGGTGGTGGCCACTCTGGGGTGCTTGCATCACTCCACTCCCATCTTTGGGTGGCTCAGAACACAGAGAGGGAGACACTCTGTACGTTTGGGAGAAAGTAAGAGAAGCGTACAAGATTCTCTGCCTGGTAATCCAGAAAATTCTCCTGGATCTTCTCCAAGACTAATAGGGCAGTATCTAGGAGTGTGCAAGAACCACTGAGCTTGGTTGGAGTGAAGCAGATACAGCTTAGTTCACAACACCCAAGTCCTTTGTGGAAAAGGTGGGAGCATGTATTTACTCACTAAACTTTTGGAGAATGAACCAAATGGACCAAATGGACCACTCTCATTCCTGAATCACTCATTCTTTCTATTTCTCCCTGTCTCTTAATTTCCACACTTTCTCACTATATCTAGTCTTCCACCACCTCTTTTCCTTTTTATCCCTTCCCTTCCTGGCAAACTTTCTGAGTACAGTCTTTCTTATGAAGATCAAGTCTTAAGACTCTTTTGGGGTTTTGCAAATTTCCCAGGCCTGGAGTGTTAAATGTAGCATTTGCTTAGAGTCTATGGATGGAGAAGTGGTGTAGAAAATATAGAGGACTTCTAGTCTAGGCTGAAATGGAGATAGTTCTTCTTTACAATATCTAAATTTGAACACATTTCTTCACCAAAATTAATATATTGTCCTTCTGTGTTAAAAAAAAAAAAACTCTCCTGGATCTAAGATGCATCACAAAGTGTCCTACACTAATCTGTCAACTATTGGTCCTGTTCTTCAGCCATCTCTCCTTAATTCTCTGGGGTGGAAAAGGGGAAATTAAGAAAAGAAAAAAGAGAAAAAGAAATTGTTAAGTGCTCACCAGTCACTGTCCCTTCTACTTCCTAATAGATCTCAAATATGTCCCTCTTCCTACCATTATCTCTATTCATTCTGACACTATCATCATCTGAAACACCACCATCTTTTCCCTGGACAATTGTAACTGACACTCAATTGGTCTCCCATATATTACAATTGCCTCAGTCCAATCCTTTTGCCACAGTACAGCTAGGGTAATATTTTAATATACACACCTAGTCTTGTTATATTTCTCCTTAAACCTCTTCAATAGTTTCCAATTACCTTAGAATAAAATTTCAAGTTCTCACCATGGATCACAAGGCACTCTAAGACCCCAAGATATCAGGTCTCTGTCACTCTGTTTTTCTGTCTCTTTCTATCTAGATTTACATCTATATCTACATCTACATCATGTATGTATTTGCGTGTTACTGTGTAATATTTATAAGAATACTTACTATGATGTAAGTACAAAATACTTTACACGCAACCTTATGCCATCCTCCCATCACTATGAGGTAGGTACTATTATTTTTCCCATGTACAAATGAGGAAATCGAGGCTTTAAGTAGTTTATTAACTTGTGCAAACCCACATAATTAGTGTCAGAGCCCAGGATTCAAACACAATCAGCCTGATTCAAAACTATGTAACTAGGAACAGTATATTTTTTCCAATTTCTTCACTTACCACTCTCCATCTTGTTATGTGCTCTAGTTATACTTGACTTTCGGTTTCTCTTTTAGGACCTTCCTACATGTCGTTCTCTCTGCCTGGATAACCTGATCAGAAATAAGTCCTTGGAATTCAGACATTTCTATGGAAGATGTGGCTATCTCAGAGAAAAAAACCTCTAAGTTAGGCTTAGAGATTTTTAACCATGAAAGAGTTCCTGGTTGGTTGAAAGTTTTCTGTGAATGTCACATAGTCCAGAATAGAAACAAGCTTCCAGTTGTTGAAAGATTCCTTTACTCATACTGAGAATCATGTAGGGCCAGACCCTGGGTGGTAGGACTTCTGTAGGTGTTTAATACGACACAAGACCAGGCTCTAACTGACTCTTATCAGTCTAAGCAGGAGTAGACATTGAGTGTTCGGAGTTTTAGCCTCTTGATGCTGAGGCTGGCCTAAGAACAGGATCTGGGTGGTTAGAGATTTTGTTTGTATGCACTGAAAACTTCATAAATTGTCAGAGGCTGCTATTGTACATGCTAGAGTCAGAGTAGGAGAAGACCGAGGATGGTCAAAGGCGTAGTTATATATAGGAGATAATCTAGCACAGTGGTTAAGAACTTAAACAACTCTGTAGTGAGCCTGCTGCATTGAAATTCCAGATTCCACACTTCCTAGCTGTGGGACATTGGCCAAGTGACTTATCCTTTATCTCTGTTTCATCTTCTCTAAAGTGAGAATAACAGTATGTACTCCATAGGGCTGTCATAAGGATTAAATTAGACATGTAAAGCACTTGAAACAGTGCCCAGCAAATAGTGATTAGTCAAGAAATCATAACTATTATCTGTTATAGCCTAGTACAGGAATAAGGCTAAAGTGGACAAAGGTTTCTTCTGTAGGTGCTCTCTGCACTCCAAGGAACAAATCTCATGTTTGAACTTATAGTCTATGTTTGAATATACCTTTCTTACCTGACTTTTCCAAACTTTGCCCTATATATATATATTTGAAATATATATATTTAGAGAGAGAGAGAGAGAGAATTTATTCTTTCCAATCCTGTCTACTCCTCTGATGTATGCCACCTGGACTGTCTGATCTAACCACCTAATTACAATCAGGTCTGTTTGTTGATTCCTACATCTATCTCATAGTGACAATGGTAATTTTGATTTTAATTGCTTCCTGCTAAGCTCAAAGATGTGTTTGGTTTGCCTTTCTGACACTGCCAAGCAACAATCATAAGTCCTTATATCCTTTGCTTCTTACAAGTAGAGGAGAGTGACAAAAGGTAGTAGCAAAGATGACAATATGCTAAGATGGTAAGTACTCCCATAAATAGGTTCTTCTCCACCAGGAGACAATCTTTTTACTGAACTCTTAAAAATGAAATATTCCACTTGGCTTTACTCTTCTAACTAGAAGTCACTCGCAGCTAAGATTGTAAGTTTATACACAATAACTTTTCTTTTAGAATGGCCTTGATATAGCTACAATGTTATAGTCTTGTATACAAAGTTGTTCAAGCTGTTTTCTGAAGGAACATCCATCCCTTCCGAGATTTTTAACAGTTTCAGAGGAATTTTCCCTCTTCCTTCTACTGCTAAGCTTTTAGTTTAATAGATGTTTTCAGCATACTGTATATTTAGTTATGACTGGCCCAGTATCGGTGTCCAAAGTTTGTGCTTTTATATCATCTGGTTGGGATACTGTCACAGTAAGAATGTTTTGTTAGGAATTATCCCATTTCCTTGATCACAAAGTTTTTGCTACTGACACTTGTAATTTAGAGACTTGGTAGGATTGGGTAAGTGCCTGGCTGGGAATTTCATTAAACTGGAAAAGGATATGAGTATAGCAGAATTTTTTTTCTCATATGACCTCAAAAAAGATGTTAAGGCCAAGAGAAGCCGGAAGATATGATAGGACCAAGAAGAAAGATGAGGTCAAGTTTTCAGTTTCTGTCTCTAAAGTGAAGGGGTTAGATTAGATGACCTCTCGGTTCCCTTCCAGAAATGATATTGCATCATCCGAATCCTGGATGATGAGCCAAGATAAGAAGCCTAGGTCCAGAAAGTGAGTCAGATCTAGGAGGACAATTAGCAGAGACCAGAAACCGAGGCTTGCTGACTGGGAACAAAACCCTAGACTAAAGTCAAGGCCACAAAAGGTTGCTATGTAATTATGGGATCTGTGTGATACGCATAGGGATCAGCAGCAAGAGAGAAGGCTGGTACTGTGCCAAACTCCTTTACATGCAGGAGCTTTCTACAGGTTTCCTGCCCAGAGTAACTCACAATAGTTTTCAACATGTGTGCAAGGCTTGAATCTATGGGACAAAAATAGGAGTGACTGTTTGAAGTAATGGACTAGGGGAGCAGGGAAAAAGTACTTCTAGATAATGACCATCAGAGCAATTATTTTTATCAGGAGTTGAGGAGGAGATCAAAAGGAACACTCCTAGTTCCGGTAAGTGGCAAAGGAAGACCTTGAATTCAGATTTGACTCTAATGTCAGTGCTCTTAACTATTGTATTAGTTACCTGAGGCTGCCATAACAAATTACCACAAATTGGGTTACACAAAACAGCAGCTACTTATTCTCTCATGGTTCTGGAGGCCAGAAGTTTTAAATCAAGGTGTCAGCAGGGTCACGCTCCCTCCAGAGGCTGTAGGGGAAAATCCATTCCTTACCTCTTCCAGCTTCTGATGGCTTTGGTATTCCTTGGCTTATAGCCACATCACTGTGATCTCTGCCTCCCTTTTCATGTCACCTTCTCCTCTATGTCTCCTCTTCTGCCTGTATCTTAACAGATAAGCAAGATCTTTATTTAACTTAATGACATATTTTGTCACACAAGTAATGTTCACAGATCCCAGGAATGAGAGCATGGACATATCTTTTTGAGAACCACCATTCAGCCTACTATAATTCCTATGATGAAATTTTTTTCTATTCAGCTTCTTTCGTTCTCAGACATTGACATTTTAGCTGGCACTGTTAATTTCATAACAAATATCCCTTTAATCTTTGCTAACAGAATCCAAATTTTGTTTGAAATATCTAAGCGTGTTCCCTTTTTACAGCCTCCATTGCCACTAGTTCTGGTCAATGAGATTGAAGGGGAAGTGTGATAGTGAGAGGATTTCAGGAAAGTTTTTGCCTTCCTGATAAGACGAGATGGACTTACCCTTTAAGTCCCTGGTCCTTCCACTATATTCAGCAATTCCACTCCTGAGTATATATCAAAAAAAAAAAAAAAAAGAAGCCACTTTTCCTTCAACTAGTGAATGGATAAACAAACCATGATACATCCATACAATGTAACACTGCTCAGCAATAAAAGGAATGAGCTATAAATACATGCAACAACCTGAATGGATCCCCAAGGATTATGCTAAGTGAAAAAAAGACAATCCCCAAAGGTTCCATACTGTAACTCCATTTTTATAATACTTTGAAATGACTAAATTTTAGACAAAGAGGACAGATTAGTGGTTGTCAGAGATTGAGTTAGGGAGGTGGGAGAAAAGTAGGTGTGGTTACAAAAGGACAACAAAACGGATCCTTGTAGTGATGAAATTGTTCTGTATCTTGACTGTGGTAGTGGATACATGAACTTACACATATAACATTTTATAGAACAAATACACACACACAACTACAAATAAAACTAAGGAAATTGGAATAACATGGGTGAATTGTGTCAATGTCAATCTGATTGTAATACTGAACTAAAGTTCTACAAGATGTTCCACTGGGGGAAACTGGGCAAATGGTACATGGAATATTTCTGTATTATGTCTTATAACTGCATGGAATCCACATTATCTCAGTAAAAATTCAATAAAAATTAAATGTCAAGATGATGATATATTTATGGAATACTAAGGAATACAACAGGAGGAAGTCCCTAAATTTTCCTTAAATATGCAAAGGCAGAAAGACTGCATGGAAGAAATACTTAAGCTAAGTCTTGAAGAATGAGTAGAAGCATTCTGGATAGATGGGGGATGGATGGGCGATAAACCAGGAAGAGGGGACCAGCAGGCAAAGAGATATAAGAGAACATGGTATACTGAGGGAACTGCAAGTAATTCAAGTATGGCTGAAGCACAAAGTTCATATGCAAGAAATATCTCTTTTTCTCCAATGTTCTCCTTTAGTAGTAGTCAAAAGAGATTTCTGACATGCAACCCTATGATACACAGGAATCAAAAGGAATCCACAGTCCCTTGTGCTCCAGGAATTAGGAGGGAGCCATCCCCTGTTCCCTTGTCTTGATCTTTATATTACACGAATGAAGAACTGGCCTCATAGCTTTCTGTGTTCCTTGCAGGACTCGCATCTCTCTCTCCCCCAACCCCCACACTCATAGTCTCACAACCATTACCTGCTTTGATATTATTAGAATTATATAATTATGTCCTTTATCTCTGTTTACTTCAGTCAACTAAAGAGAAATCCCAAATTCCTACACTTTATTCCCCATGCAACTCTGCATATTATTTTTTGACCCTATTTCCCATCCTTCCCCATTTCCTGAAACTCTCCTGCAGTGTCTACTAGAACTTACAGTCCATCACCAGAAAAAGTATTTATATCCTCAACCTCTTTTCTAAATATTCCTTTCACCTACTTGCTCTAAGAACTCTAGTTTTCCAATGAAGACACTGCTTCCCCTAAAGCCCAAATGGCAACTGCTTTTTTTCCCATACTCCTCAAATCAATGGTCCTAAAGTTGGGTTAGACAACCTATTTGCACCCCATTACCACTTTCAAGCCATTATCCTTCTGTCTTCCTTAAACGTTCCCCAGCTTTGAATTTCAAGTCATTCAGTCATTTAGTTGTTCATTCATAAAGCAATCATGTATTGAACACTCTACTATATGCCAGTTATTATTCTAAGGGTTAGGGATACAATGATAAAACTGGACAAAATTCCCTGTCCACATGGAGCTTATATTTTACTATTCCTTATAATTAAGTTATACTACTCATTACTTGAGGAGTTTAAATTCTGGCCTAGTGACTGTCATAATACTTGATGATCAATATATATTAATAAATTTTCAGATTTATTGGGTTCTCATTTCCTTGATCTCCTCTCTTCCAGGGAGCTATCTACCACTTTTCCTCAGCCACTCTTATATTCATTCCCTGTCTATAATCTCAATTTTAAGCATTCCACTATCTAATCAGCACCTTTCATCTCTCCATCACACTGCTTTTAGCACCCTGACTTTTATAATTCTTCAACCTTTACAAGATACGCATTCTTTGGACCCTATCAGCTTTTTACAGTTCCTTATCATTTTCATGTCCCCCTTCCCCTCTACCTAATGCAAATTCCATAATCATTCCCTGGTATATATGTCCTGAATATTCTTGCCTTTTTCTTGTTTGAGTTCAGGGGCCAAAACCGAAGCCTGCTTAAAGCCAATCCTTTCTCTACTTTAATCTACCTCCATACAGGTGAAGGTGATTTTAAAAAAGCATACAACCACACTTATTGATCTTAGTTAAATTCTTGACCACGAACCTCATCTGTGCTCTTATTGCTACCTAGCAATCATACTAAATCTCTGTAGTCTAGTCATGCTGTTTCTCACTTAGATGTCTATTTCACACCTTCTCTTCCTAAAATCTCTAATATTTCCTATCTCTCTTCATTCTATCTGATACCCTTACTTACTACTTCACTGAGGAAATTAAAGCAATCCAAACAAAACTTTGAACTGCACAAAAGTATAACTTAAAAGAAAAGAGGAAATGCTTCTCTTTTTACAAGTATTCCTGCTAATTCCAGAAACACCCAATCAATTAATAGATCTAAACAAAAATTATCAAAGGCTGTTAACATCCCAACAAGGGAAACAACTGGACATTATGTGTCTCTTGATAGAAGTATACAACACCATTTATAAAGTATTCTTGCAAACATTATACCCAGATCTCATCAAGCCTCTGAATGAGGAATTACAGAGAACAGAAGAACATGTTAAAAGTCACCATGGGGATGCCATCAGCAAAATACAGACTGTGGGAGACTCTACAGGACAAACAGTTCAGTTTTATCAAGAAATAAACTGGGTAATGTAGATGAAAAGAGCATCTATAAATTGAAAGTGACATAAGAGACACATCAATCAATCACAATACGTGGTCTTTATGTGGACCACAATTCAAACAAACATTATAAAAAGACAACTGGGGAATTCGGAACATGGATGGGATATATTATAATATTAAGGAATTATTGTTAATATTTTAGATATGGTGATGTGGTTATAGCTTTTAAAGCACCATCTTTCAGAGGCATATAATAAAATACTTAGAGTTGTAATAATATGATACATGGGATTTACTTCAAAATAATCTGGGGAAGGGAAAGAGTGTAGATGGGGCTATAGAACAAAACAATACAGGTCATGAAGAGATAGTTGTTAAAGTTGGGTGATGACAGCATGGAGGTTCATTAATCTATTGGGTTCATTAATCTATTCTCTCTACTTTCATAAATTTTTGGAACTTCCATAATGATGAATTTCTTAAAGCAGAGATTTTTCTACGAGCATCAGAAGATAACTTCCAACTGACGTAACTGCAAGAATGCACACATATCCTGCCTCTGCTCTTGTCATTATCCATACTCCTAAGTAAGGTCCACTCCTTCATTTGTGCACCAGAACACATACCTTCTCCCTATTCAAAGATGCCATTCTAGTAATTCTTTTCTTACCTGCCTTATTAATTTCCCCTTCTCTACTGGATCAGTTCCATTCAGCATAGAAATGTGCTATAATTTCTCAGATTTAAAAAAAAATGTCTATTGATGTCCCTGTAGTCCCCTCTAGCTATTGCCCAATTTCTCTGCCTCTTTTAGAAGAAGATTCCTCAAAGGAGTTTTCTTGATTTCTAGTTTCCAATTCCATTTATCCCATTCTTTACAGAACTCATTACAGCTAGGCTTTTACACCTACCACTCCACTGAAATTGCTCTTGTCAAGGTCACCAATGACCTCAACGTTGCAAAATCCAATGGTCAATTCTCAGTCCCCATCTTATTTGAACTATCAGTAGTATTCCATGCAGCTGCTCATGTTCTTCTCAAAACACTGTCTTCATTAGGCTTCCAAAACACCATACTCTTCTAGTTTTCCTCCTACCTTATTGTTCTCTTCTTCTCAGTGTTATTTGCTGGTTTATTATTATTTTTATGATTTCTAACAATTCTCCACAGTTCAGTCCTTCTTTTATAAATATATGCTCTTTCTTGATGATCTCCAAATTTTGTATTTCTATCCTGGACTTCTCCCCTGAAATCCAACTCCACTTGAATATTTAACAAACATCGTGAACTTAGATCCACAGTTGAACTCACTAAAAATGTGCTCCACTTTTATAGACTTCCACCTTTCAGATGGCAGCAACTCCATCCTTCCACTTGCTCAGGTTGAAAACTTTGGAGTCATCCCTGACTTTTCTCTTTACCTCTACTCCACATCCAATCTACCAGTGAAATGCTAAATAGAATTTTTCAAGTCACAATGAAAAGGCAATAAACTGAAACAGGAAAGACACTAGATCATTAATCAACTACTCCCAGCAAAGAGAAGTCCAGGACCAGATGCCTTCAACAGGTGAATTCTACCAAACATCTAAAAAAAGAATTAACACCAATCCTTCTCATACTTTCGAAAATCGGAAGAGGAGGAAATACTTCCAAATTCATTTTATGAGGCTAGCATTACCCTGATACCAGAGACATACAAAGATACTCCAAGAAAAGAAAACTGAAGAG